ATCCTACCAACAGTCGAGTTTTAAACTAGGTGTTTCCATGACTGGAAAACTAGTCTCTAAATGTCCAGGTTTTCCAGGGAACCCTGTATTATATTTCAGTAAAAGCAAAAAGTACAAAGTATATATATGTTTAATTTTGTAGATTAAGGAGATGGTGTAGACTTGACCACAAGCTGTTTTCAGAGCATTAAGCAAAATGTACACAGCATTGTGTTCCGGCTCCGTCACGTCACGGTTTCAGTGTCCACTGGAAACTTTTCAGAAGTGGAGCGTCTGTTGTTCAGTGCCCACATTACAACACACATAATAGAGTTTAGACTTTGCCAACATTATTTGGAATGTTTCTAATCATAAATACAGTGCATGTTTGCCGATGGTAACTTGCTTTATGTACTTTAATATGCTGCACAAGCTTTTGTGTCTTCTAAACTTTCTCTATCATCACTCATTCTAAATGTCAGTATAATCCATCTCACAACACAGTTGCAGTCTTTACCCTGGATTTTTACTCTTTATTTTCTCAGATATCATAAAATAGTGATTTTATCAGCAGCTCAGTAATGACTGTTTGCCGGCACAATGTTTACAGTATGAGCCGTGTTCCAATTCATAGCTGTCTGCCAACAGAAAAGGAAAACAACAAGATTCCATTGCAACATCACCTGAACTGGATGTGGTTTTCTACCCGCAGTTGGTAAAACTTAATCACAGAGAATGTTTATTTCCTCGCCTTTTGTGCTCATAGTTTTTTATACTGTACTCGTTTGACTTCTTTATTTATTTTGCTTTATGTAGTCTTTGTATAGCTCTGTAAGTGATTGTTCATTTCGCCTGGTTTTAATCACACATTAAAGGGACTCTAAAAATGAGTTTGCGAATGAATGGACAATGTGTGTCTGCTCATTCTCTTTGTGCCTTCTCTAGACAATGTTACTAAGTACCACGTAAGGCTGTGTGTTGCGGATCAGTGTGAGTGGACTGACTGTGGCTGTTTGCGGAGCAGCGTCTGGATGAAGGACAGGGAGGCAGGGTCCAGCTGTTGCAGCTCCTCCTCAGTGTAGCTCACATTGAGCTGGGAGATGTTGAGAAACGTCTCCTGCTTGTCCTCGCCCAGGAACGGAGAGATTCCTGTCAGCATCACGTAGGCCAAGACACCAATACTCCTGAGGACATGGAGCACAGTGCAGACAGGGTTAGGGCAGGCTGATATGGAAACACGTACACAATACATTATATACAATAAAATGTGCAGCTTTGAATGGTAGCGTGTTTCAACAACAGACATTCACGGTCCCTGAAGGCTGAATTGTACTAACTTTGGTGATCCTCTGACTTCTCCTCTAGCGCCACCATCAGGTCAAATATTAATATGTCCAATAATGGTTTATGAGCAAATACCTGCAAGACTAATGACATTCCCATCAGCCTCAGCTGTACTTTATGTTTACTTATTGAATGTTAGCATGTTAACCATGGAGAACATGGTAAACATTATCTGCTTCCATCAGAAATACACCATCTGTGTATTCTCCACAGAGCAGACTGGAGAGCCGCTTCTGGTGGAATCACAAGCATTGAGTGTGTTTGAAATACATACTAACATACTGCCTACTACATACCCAGTGAAGTCACTGAAGTATATTCAAGCATATGTCTTCTTTCTTTGTGCTTCTGGAGCTTCTCAACTCCAAAAACGTTGATATTCGCAATCTTCATTCAAATATTCTCCAAAGGGAATTTTGTGGTAATCCACCATTGACCGATCAGAAAAGACGCAATGCATTATGGGGTGGTTGAGTATGCGAGTATGAGTATTGAGATCACACTTAGTATAAATAGTATGTTGGTATGTGATTCCGTGTCAAGAACTTGACATGGCCACCAGAGCTGATCGCCTGGTGGAATCAAGCAGTCCAAAAAGTACAAAAAGAGCACCGCTATTTATTCATTGGAATAATAAGGGGTTTTCTCACCACATATCTGTTGCTGTGCTTATGGGCTCATAGTTTAGAATCTCAGGAGCTGAAAACAAGCACACAAACATAAGTTACTGCTCAGAATCCTATCAGTGCAAAAGTGAGGTGACAGAGGCGAGGTTGAGCACCAACTCACCGACATATTCTGGAGTTCCCATGATCTCTCTGAGCTCCTGGTGGCTGCTGACCATCCTGGACAGACCGAAGTCCACGATCTTGATGTCACCCAGGGGAGAGCTGCTGGTCAGCAGGATGTTCTGAGGCTGACGGGGACATTGCGGCACGCACGTTAGTGTTAGACAGGAAACACATATCTACTCTGCTCTGTGTCACCATTTTCATACAGGATACAATCACTTGTGGTACAGTTTTATAGGTTTATAGTCTGTATTCACATCAGTGGTTTTATTTCTGATGGATGCAACTATAGGTAGTGCATTCGACACTGCAGTAGGTAACTTTGTTAAAAATAACTTTTTGTCATACTGGTTGTTTGATTCTAGCAAATGTAATTAAAAGCACTAGGAGGAGCCAGAGGAAGCAGATATTTTTAGATAAACTGTATCATGCCCTACTGTCAGGATATAGTGAAAGCTTCAGAAAACATGACCTACTGCAGCTTTAAGCCACTGGTACATTCTGCTTTTTATTGGCTGCTTTGTCCACTATGTCTCAGAATGTTCAGAATGGATCTTTACAAAACCTTGCTGAACACATTGCCAATTTAGTTAGTACAGAGAATGAATGAGGTTTTATCTGAACTCACTGGTTCTTTTTAGACATCATAAAGAAATGAGAGGAAATGACTGCACTGTACAAGAAAAGTAAAATAAAGGCGGTTAGGTAGAATCTTGTTTGTGTGTGTGTGACCACTGACCTTCAGGTCGAGGTGGACTACGTTGTTCTGGTGGAGGAAGGAGACTCCCTCCAGGATCTGCCTCATGAGCCTCTTCACGTCCTCTTCGCTGAAGGCCTCATCCTCCCGATCCGACACACACTGGTTGAAGATCTCGCCTCCAGCCGCACTGCACGCACACACACACACACACACACACACACAGATGTAGACCATTCATTAGATTACAATGCAACATTTGAAATCCTTCAGTCTAATAGTTTTGTAGATCAGCCATAAGCTTTATTTCCTCTGCTTCACCTGTGCAAAGTCAGGGAGGGCTGGATCCTATCCCAGCATGCACTAGGTCACTGGTCTAACACATAGACAGACACATTCATGTGTAATTTAGTGTTTGAGTTTGGACTGCGGGAGGAAGCTTCAAGTTACCCAAACTACCATGTGAGTTCCCCGTTTCATCCACAACCTCACCGAAATGACTGAGCTGTCCCACGTCAGGTTTTTTATGGCGAATCCCGTGAGAAATAATCACAATCTAGCCCTATTGTGTGTGTGTGTGTGCGTGTGTGTGTGTGTGTGTGATGACTTGCCAGAGGCAGTGGCAGAAATAGCAGCACCTCCAAATATAGCAAACTAATTAGGAACTTCTCTTGAACGAGGCCGTTTGTACTGACGACTGATCACTCTCTCTCCACTTCTCGCGTGAGAAAACAGGCTCGCGATCACAGAGTAAACAGCAAACATCGGAAATACTTCAGCTACTGCCCTCCTTAAAGCACCTTTCATTTCCTCTGACCTGAGATAAACTTTGATGGATAAACTCAATTAGACCGGTTGCATGATTGAAAAAGAGAGAGGGGCAGTCAGGAATAGACAAGGCGTCCCCTCAGGGTGCTGGTGAATTAGGCTCTATCTCAGAGGAAAGGTGGAGGTGGGGGGGTGTTTTGGTTTTTCAAGGTGAGAAGGAAAGGCCCTTAAACCAACTAGAGAGAATAAAAACACTGGCAAGACAGGCTGGAGGTCAGACCTGATGTATGGTAATCAAAGTCAAATAGTTCCCCACAGAACCTCCATTATACACACACACATTTGTTCTTGCACAGTCTGTTTTCCCTCCTGGAAAGAAATGTTTAGTGCAAGTCAACACACAAAGCTTTTATGTTCCTTTCAGCCTGGAACATATTTTTCAGTGTTTGGTTGCACTGTAGCAAAGTCAATGTGCCCCTGTGTTCCTAGATCTCAGCTAACACTTTAGGGCAGAGGTCACTAACTTTTACTATCAAAGGAGCAGTTTTTGGCAAAAAAAATAAATAAAAAATAAAAAAAATAGAGGAACAGGCGGCAGGTCAGGATGTAACGTATGACGCTCATTTTAGTTAGATGAAATGTTAAGACAACACACACCAGAGTCCACTAACTTGACACCATTTTCCAAAGATCAGACTGCGCTAGTTGGATTTGTTCATTGAGTTTTTCTTGGCAATACAGAATAGAACTTGCTCCCAATATAATTCATATCATTTACCAGTAGGCCT